CCAGTCATGTCAATAATGCAATTACTCATGCTCAGTGTTACACAAGGCCAGTACATGTACTTATGTTAAATACCACAAAAATTAGCTACTTTTCCTTACAGTGAAAGTAATGTTTAACAAGTATTTTCAAAAAGCTGTAATGAATGCAGGACTGCAAAGTAGGAGGGACAAATGTGTACAAATTCAAAAAATACCAACATGAAATTTGTACATATTTAGAACATCTACTTAGATCAACTTCTAAAGAACAAAGTTCTGAATTAGTGTTAATATAAAATAGCTTTTTTTTAAAAAAAAATGAAGTTTGGCATTAAAGATTTGGAAGATGTCTATAAATCCCTTTGAAGAGTGAGAAGAAAAATATTTACCCATGTTCTTTCTTCAGTGCATCTACTAAGCCCATCAAATCATTAATCTGAGTCCTGAGTTCTTCCACAGAAATTTTTTCATCATCTGTTTCTCCTTTAAGTTGGATGTCTCCAGGAAAAAAGTTGAGTATAACAGAACTTGGTCTCTGAGATGAAGACGGAATTGGTGGACTGAATGCAGATGGCTGAAAAAAATACATCAGTAGAAAGCTTAGAAATTAAATCATACTGACAATTTACAGCATACAGGTTGTACTGTTATGGGAGCTATACGTGCACAAATTTCCTTAATATTCTACCCAAAAGGTAAAAAAAAAGTCCAGTTCAAACGGACCACCGTAGTATATGAGATACAGTTATTTTATACAGCTCCTTATTAGGCATTTCCCTGAGGTTCCTTTATTAGGCATTTCCCTGAGGTTCCTGTAGTCACTAAAAAAGCACTCACACTGCAGTCCTCTACACTTAAAAAAAAAAGAAAAAAGAAAGAAGTTATTTAATGGAGCCCATTGGTTCATTATAAACAATCTTTTGTGCAACTTTCTGATCTGCTCAGTGTTCTGTCTGTCAGGACACTAAAGGCTGAGCAGACATGAAGCTTATTTAGGAAATGATACCATAGTTTCATGCTACCCAATACAATAGTTCTCATCAGAACTGATGAACTTCATACTAAAATTTCTAATATGAACTTTATACTAAATGATGTGGTCACATGCATTTAAATACAATCATTTGCATTTAGGTGGTTGCATCAATCTAAACTGGACATAGGAGCAAGATGAACAGAACACCTAGCTGCCTGGTACTTCACTAGTTCCTTGGTATCATACCTTTTTTGTTTCAACTGGCTTTGGTTTGGCACTTTCTTCTTCCTTCTGCATCTTCAAATTTTTTTCTGGACTCACATTTTGACTTGCCTGGTAAGACATTCATAAAAAAAAGGTTTTGAGAATTTAAAAAAAATAATTAAAAAGTAAATAAAAAAACCTGTCACATCTTTCTAAAGATGCAATAGAAAAAAAAACCCCAAGCCCCCAAACTTAAATTGTTAGACTACCATGATTTTCTTTCCCTGTCAGTAAGAGCTGTCCTTCCCCTGCAATACTAATTCATCTGAATTTAAATCAAACATAGGAATCTTGGTCAGGATTTTCAAGCATCTCTGCAGAACTTAACGAGTCCTTGATGCTTTTGTGATCCTGTAGGTGCTTCCGTAAAACACCAACATTAACAGGCAGTAACTGTAGATGGTAATCAGCATGACTGAACTATACAACGATGATATGAATTGATTTTTCAAGGACTCTGCACCACCTCGTTCTGATGGCCTGACAATCCCACGTCTTAGCACATGAGATCAAAACTCCTGCATTACAGCAACATTAAACTATAAATTTGTTGTGGCCAAAAACTATGCACTGTTAGGCTTGTGAGGCACTAAACACACTTTCAGAGTTGCGTGTATGTACACCACCTATTTCATCATCAGCGATGCTGGAAGAGCTTAGTACTTACTGCAGTAATACCCCACAGAACAGAAAAACTCCTTCAGCTGCAATGCAGTCACGTTCTTTCTCTTACGTACGCTTCCCTCCCGGGAACGGATATTCCTGTAGACAAAGTCTATAGGAACTGAACCACTGTGGCATTTTGCATTTCGGTCTCAGGTAAATGGTTCATAAGACTGTTTCCTGGGAAGTTAGTATTTAGTTCACTACTAGGAAGACACACCCAATATACTCACAGGACTACTGCTATTGAAACGTGAAGGCAGCCTCCTACCAGGCATCTTGGGTCGGTTTGCAGTAGGGTGTGATAGGTTATCTGAGGTAGCTATTACATCATCAAAGCTTAACAGATCTAGAAAAAGAAGAAAACACAGACCAGCATCAAGACCAGAAGGTTTGCTGCATTCTTTTTTTTACCACTTTTTGCCTTAAGACCAAAAAAAAAAAAAAAAAAAAAGAAAAAAAAAGAATTTATCAGAATTTTTATTGTTTCAAAGACTTTCAGCATATACAACATGAACCGTATGAAACAACTACATGAATTTGGCACATCTGGGAAACCACATTTTCCCCCTCGAAAAAAATGAAGAGTTAATTCAACTAGTGTTTAAATTCAAGTTCTCAACCGAAGAAGTGCCGTAGTAACACAGCAGCATAACACAGACCTAACAAGTGTCTGGAGAAAAATATATTTATGACTGTTTTTTTGAGAGGTGCCATATTCACCTATTCAAGAGAACATATTTTCTTGTTGCTAAACTTGCATGAAAAGCATGAAAATCCAAGTTGAGTGACTCAGACAAAAATGAAAGCAACATGGTAAAGTACATATCCACAGGTTGGTGAAAGTAAGTTAACAAGACATTAACTGCAAATATTTCTGTGCAGGGTAGTTTTTTCCTATGCAGTACTTTGTCTAAATAAAATACACCACTTCATGAAGTCTGGAATAAAACATTTCAAAACAACATTCTCATACTTCACTAAATCGTACATATCTCCTTACTAATCAGTCTCTTTATGCTCATAGTTCTAGGTAAACTCTTAGATCAGTAGAAATTCTTTATATCCTATGGGAAGAGACAACCTTAGAAAAAAAAAAACATTAATAGGAAGAACAGAACATATATAATCTAATAACATAAGTAGTCACACAGTTAACAACTCTACTTCTTGACTGTTACTCCACAAAAATAATACTTACCTGTCAACAGATGTGCAATGAGATAGGTTTTTTAATATAAGCATCAACGTAAGATACGGATATTATATATTAATTTACAACACAAATTCACTAGACTTATTCTACAGACTCTAAATATTTAACTAAAATGCCACACCGCATTTACTACAGGCATCAAAAGTAATATTCAAGGTTTATGATTGTTTGGGGTTTCTTTTTTTGGGGGGCGTGGGCGTGGGGGTGGGGCAGTGTTGGGCTTTGGTGGGTTTTTTTGGTTTGTTGGGTTTTTGGGTTTTTTTGCGACCTCCAATTTTTACTGACATTACTGTTTATCAAACAGAAGCTGTAACACTATCCCAGTTTTCACATTTTGACACTACAGCAAGGGGGCAGCTAAGAAAAAAAGCCCTAAGAACACTGAGCCAGACCATTCACGCTACTTCAGTGTTTGGATGACTTGAAGTCATCCGATTACTCAAAGTTTTACTCATGCTTTGTCAAAACTATTCCATACCTAGCAAATAAGTTTTCCACTGAATGTTTTAACAGATTTTAATGTCTTCTACTCTGCATTACTCTAAGTCCTTAAAATATTCACATATTTTGGATATCCCTGAACTTACCTATTTATTTCATGACCTGTCTCCCTGTTGAAATGCAAGCTTTTGTAACACTGTTACAAATCAGTTTTGCTGCTTTTTAATGTTACTAAAGAGAATGTACAGACAGCGTTTTATAAACATGTAATCATATTTGCAATTTAAAAAAGCTGTGAAGAAAAACAAAGTAGGAAGAAACAGAAGAATGATGAATGGCAAGCGGCTGATGGAAAAGAGGATGAGGGAGAAATAAATAATTATGAAGGTATTTCTGTTGTAGTCTGTGCTGATAAAATATTTAACTTCTAATAAGTCAAGCAACAGTGACCCAGGGGTATATCTTTATGTTCTTTACTCAATTGTCAGTAATCCCAGAGCACTAGCCCACACCAAAATGTAAATCAGGATTTACGTTAGTTAGGTATTATTAAAAAGGTAACAAGAAGGCAGGAAAAAACATACAACTCTTTTCCCTCATCTCAGTAATTTTTGCCTTTAGATAACCTTCCTTTTGTCATTCAGCAGAAGTGGCAACTCATTTGGCAGTAAATTTAAATAAGAATTGTAAATTGAGTTGCTATTATGATTGTAATGCCAGCCCTGTCTCCACGAACAAAGTAAACATGAGACATATTAAGAGTATAAAAAACACGTTAAGAATAATGTGTACTTCCAGGGGAAAAAAAAAACCAAACCACAACACAACATTTGACAAGGCTTGAACATGAAGACTGCTACAGTCCTGAATATAAATGGTGGGATGACACTGAAGCCAGGGATTTTTTTCCTATTTCTAAGGTCTTCTAAAGGAGACTGCTATACCTGAGACAATTGCTCAGCCTTCAAGTATTACCAGCACATTACAGTCAGAGGAAATTCTGATTGTACTTGGATTTTCCTTCTTACCTTTCCATTTTGTTGCTTTGGTATAGGGAGGAAATTAAAATACCAGCTGGTAGGGATTAGGGTTTGTGCTATTGATGGTGGTGGTTTTGTTTGTTTATTGTGGGTCTGAGGGTTTTGTTTGTTTTTATTCTTAAACAGCATTCTTTATTTTAGGAGAAAGCTTGCCCCCACTGAAGCCAATAGAAATACTGATGAAACCCATTGAAAGTTCACAGTTTATACCTATTTCAATCAATCAAGTGATTTATCAATTAACTTTCTTACAGACAGCCTGCGAGTAATTGTTAAAGGAAATCCCATCGTAGTGCCAAAAGAGCAATACCAAACGTCTCGGGATAATTTGTGTCAAAACATTATTTTAAGGCTGAGCAAAATCACCTTTAGTTCTGGAAAGATGAGCTAAGTTTAAACAGTTACTTAGGACAGACTAATAGAACTATCTCTTTTGCAAGCTTAAGCTAGATCTGTACATTACGGAACTGTGAGGAGCTTTAAGAAATACGGTTAGCCGAATGGTTTTGTTCACATCTGTAAATGCTTCAGTGTATTCATACCAGTTTGTCTTAAAACGCCTTCACAAAAACAAGCAAAGCTGAAGGGGTGTCTAAAGAAATTACACTTCCAACATCTCATGTGGCTGGGGAGTTTAAAAACCCATGACAGAAGTGAAACACAACCAATATTTCAGAAAAGACAAGACCTCACATTAATCTGCCAAGTAAAAAGAGATGGCAGGCCTCAACTTGCTGAGGCTGCACCCCAAAAATTTAGGTGAGAGATATAGGATTTACAACATTTAAATTTGCAGTCAAGCAATAATAAGATGTTTGCCACAATTAAGCTCATGCCTAATACATAACTTCCAACAATACTATTTTACAAGACTTGTGATACTAAATAGCTGACACTGGAGGATGCAGTGCCCAAAGGCTTCATAACTGTGTCGTGTGTACGGGAAGGTAAAGCCATTCAGCCAACATACACCAGAAGGGCTATAAGAATTGAACACATTTCACTAGAAACACCACGTTTGGCTTATCAGTAGCTGGACTGTCAAGGTTTTCTGGGGTTTGGTTTGGTTTGTTTTTACCTCTACAAGTTCCTAACTGAAGAGTATACTTAAACAACTTCTTGTTTAACAGCTAAGGAAAACAGGCATTCAAAGAAACAAAAAAGCACTTTAAATTGAAACCCAAAAATTTTAGTATTAATAACTGCAACTGAAAATTATGCTTATGATGTTAAGAAGAGGCTATGCATATGGCATAAAGCATTTGGATTTCCTTATAGATTATTATCTTACCAAAATGGAGAAGGGTAGGGTAATTTCCTGACACGTAAGAAGGGAAACATGGCAAACAGGATAGGAAACAAAATCTGGAAAGAAAAGTCAAGGAGAGGAATGTCTAGAAAAAGATTCTGAACAAAAAAATTCTTTTACAAAGCAGGAAAAAGAAACATTTGTAGAAGAAACAGAACCGCTTTACATGTTCAGCATACTAGTATTACAGCTTTAGTCTTTTACAGTACTTCAATCAAACAGAGAAACATTTATGCATTTTTAAAAATAAAGCTTCAAGAGGAGGTATTTCAACATGAACAATGTTTCTGAACCTTTCTGAGTATTTGTCATTATCTGATGGCTGGGGGCCTAATTCTTGTACAGGGTGGGTCTTTTCCTATAGATACACAGTATTTACAGCTTCTCCTTCGTCTAAATTGAGTGTGGCTCAACCTACACCACACTTCACGGTCAATCTAAGCTGCAAAAAAGTAAGACCCATACTTAGAGAAATCTGTTTTAGAAAACTTCATACACTTCAGGATCTCAATCTAAAGGGGAAAAAAAAACAAAAGACACTGATAATGCAGTTGCCATCCCCAGCCATTCATTTTCCCCCGTGTTTTAGTATGTATCCTAGTTCTTGTAAGATGAAACAATCTTGGACTTTATATAAGGACCCAACACCTTTGGAGCTTTATATAGCCTTAGCTGCTGCGTGGCATATTAGGTCTTTAGCAGCAGAATGCCTAGAGACAACAAAGCATGAGATTCATTACATTTTACTGGCAGAAGTTTGGACTAGTCTCTTTGCACAAGAGTAGTAAAACTACAAGTGACTTATGCAGTTTATTTTAAACAAGGGCAGTTTCACGTAACAGAGGATTTTTGAAACTTCCCTTCAATAGCAGCTCCTTGACACTGCCAGTGCCGCATCCCCACATGGATTGCCTGAGCCTCTTTCACTTGCTCTGCACCGAACGAGGACCACTGAACAGACCTCACCCACTTGTTTGTTATGCACCTCTGTCCCTTGCCCCATTTAGGTACTAGAATCTTGAATTTCTCCATAAACCTGTAAAATCTTATGGTAGCAAATCAGAATTCATAGATTTTTATTTTTCTTCTAAATCTGTATAAAATCAGGGGTTTTATATATATGAATACCTAATATCACAGCTACTATGTTGCTACTCTGGTAATTAAAGATGTTAAGATAATTGCACCTAAATTAAAAAAATGACATTCTACCTGTTTTCATGGGTTTTTTTTTCCTGGGGATAATGAAACTATGCTATACAGTAACACAACTAGCGCAATCCTAGAGATAAATATCTATGTAGTAGGACAAGGCTTACATTTTTAAGGCTAGGTTGTGCATCGCTCGCTCATCTCTCAGCTTGCTTTGGCCTGAAAGTGTTTCTTCTGTACCCTCACTCAAACTCATCTTTAAATAGAGGCAATAGTTAAACTGCCAGTTCAAAACGTTTAAAATAAGGTGTATCACAGCATATGCATAGACTTTACTGGGGAATAAAAAAGAAACTATAAATAGGGTAACACCGATAATATTTGTAATATTTCCAGGATGTTTTAATACCTGACGAAGTCCAGCTTTTTGTGGCTCAGAAAAATATAACTTCTGACAAAACACATACATGAACTAACCTTTCCTCATACAGAGCATTTAAGCTTAGAAGCACATTTTAAATGCTTAATGGAAAAATCAGTACTTTTTTCTATCCATAAACTGCTTCAGTTTTTTAATGCATTATTTTTATCTCCCAAATGAATTTCTTACACTTTAGGACCAACTGTTCTACAACCTGAATATCACATTTGGCCTAAAAAAATTGAATCGAAGTCATACTATTTTGAAATGTATTATTACTAAAACCTTTTCTGAGATGATTTCTGCTTAAGAGGCACAACAGAGGACTGAAATGAGTTGCGCTGTCAGCAAAGGACAAAAGGTAACTATATAATAGCTTAGGGAGCATGATCATCAATGTAGTTGCTTTAACAACCATCAAGGTTTTTACTGGACAAATTTAGGTTTAAAGAGATACCAGGTTTGGCTCAATGCGCATTAAGCAAAGCCATAAGCATGAACTTCAAATGTACAACATACCATGCTGGCCAAATTTAAGGTAATGGCATTACTAAAAATACGCAAATTAACTAGAAAAGCAAAAGTCCTCTGAAATGCAAGAGCAGAACAAACAGAACCAGAATTAGAAGAACAAACCACTACCCATGTTCCTCCTTTCTTATCATCTATTACAACACAGAGCTCATCAACCACCTCCAAAGAGCCTGACATCTGTTCAGTGCTTGCTGACTCTTACCTTCAGCTACCTACAGCAGCTCTAAAAAAATATACTTTCTGCTGAACAGGCATAATTGCACTCTGTGGCATTTTGAGTAAATCACTTAAAAATTTATTCTAACATTGTAAAATACTGCAATCCAAACAGAAAGACCCAAAAGAACATTTTAGTTTTTTCTTACCCGATTCTTTCGAGCTCTTCACCACAAGTGAATCTACCTCTACTGATTTTGGTCTAAGTGGTAACTGTTCAGAGTCTAACTTTGGTTTTGCTACTGGCTCAACTTCAGATTTCGGTCGAAGAGAAACAACTTCTCCGTTAGATCTGTAGTAAGAAAAAACAACACAATATACCTAGTCAAGAGATTCAGTTTACCACTGAAACATACCAAAAATTAGAAGTAAACAGGAAAAAAACAAAAAAATCACCAGTAGATTCTCTCATTTTCTAAAGTCTTCCTTAAATCAAGTCTTTCAGAGAGCAATTCTAGTCCTATAAAAGCCAATTCTTCTGTTTCAACTCTTGCAGAGTTGTCAAACTTGTATAATCCTCTTGTAAAAAATAATCCAAAACTTTTACTACAGGGCACATTTTTGGCACTTAAATCTAAAATATTACACTTCAGTGCAACAGAAGACAAGAGAGCTGAATAGCACCCTCAGTAATATCTCTTGAAATATTCAGAAACATACTCAGACTCTTTAATATCAAAATCTTCCTGTAAAGAAAAAAGCTGCCAAGAACAAGTTATTACTTTCTGGGTATAGGACAAGTACCTTGTGTATGTGGCTTTTATTCTAACACGTATTCCTTGCATGTCTGGTCACGTCACCCAGGGAAAAAATGACACACACACCCCCCCCCAAAGATGACATTTTCCTTTACAATTCTTGCCATCATTTATGCCACAGCATAAAAATAGAGTATATAAATGTACCCGTCGTCTGGTAATTAAAGATGTTAAGATAATTGCACCTAAATTAAAAAAATTACATTCTACTTGTTTTCATGGGGAGTTTTTTCCTGGGGATAATGAAACTATGCTATACAGTAACACATCTAGCGCAATCCTAGAGATAAATATCTATGTAGTAGGACAAGGCTTACATTTTTAAGGCTTCAATGTGCCCCTGTCCTTAACTCATCTCCCAAATCCTTTATTAGATTAGAAGTTTTATTGCAGTAGAAAAAAAGAGATAGCAGCCTTATCTTCCTAGAACAGTATTAAACTTTCAGACATTTAAAAATATTTAAATATTCCAAAGATTTAAAGTTTTTAATTATTAAAGGACCACAGTTTACTACAGACCTGCACGTGTATCCCTTTATGCACCTAATTATTTTCTAACATGGGGGAAGGGAACACAACTTGTGGTTTAAAAAAAAAAAGGAAAAAACCTTAGTTGGGAAACTCTCCAAAATACCAACTGATATAACACAATTATGTACTGAAAACCTAAACAGACATAGAAGCGGCAATGGTCTAACTCTTCAGTCAGGCATCCAGTGTTCCCAGGTGTGATGAATTTCAGCTGGCACAGAGTTACTTTCCTTCACAGTAGCTAGTATGGGGCTGTGTTTTGGATTTGTGTCAAAAACAGCATTGATGATACAGGGATGTTTTCATTATTGCTGAGCAGGGCTTACATGGAGTCAAGGGCTTTTCTGCTTCTCACCCCACCCCACCAGCGAGGGGGCTGGGGGTGCCCAAGAAGTTGGGAGGGGACACAGCTGGGACAGCTGAGCCCAGCTGCCCAAAGGGATATTCCATACCATATGGTGTCATGCTCAGCATGTAAAGCTGAGGGAAGGAGGAAGGGGGGGGACATTTGGAGTCATGGTGTTTGTCTTCCCAAAGAATCGTCACACATGATGCAGCCCTGCTTCCCTGGAGATGGCTGAACCCCTGCCTGCTCATGGGGAGTGGGGAATGAACTCCCCGTTTTGCTCTGCTTGTGGGCATGGCTTTTGCTTTACCTGTTGAACTGTCTTTATCTCAAACCATGAATTTCCTCAACTTTTACTCTTCTGATTCTCTCCCCCATCCCACCAGGGGGGAGGGTGAGCAAGCGAGCAGCTGCGTGGTGCTGAGTTGCCGGCTGGGGTTAAACCATGACACCAGGGCTGTGCAGGGTGGGATCAGAGGCAGCTCTGCCTAGATTGTCTTCTGTTGTAGTCAGCCCTCCAAAGTGTGTGCCTTACCCACACTCCCTTTCTCTACTGCCCTCCCTCCTCACTGATTTCTCCCTTTAGATATTCTTCCTTTTGGTTCGGCTATCAGGACCTGCTGCAGAAACGGAAAAACCTTGACAAATGCCTGCTGCCATCTTCTATCTTTGGAGGTATTTAAGGTGCAAGCTCTTTGATGGAGCAGCTTGACTGCTCCTTTATTTGTACAAGGCCAAGTGCATCACAACCTTACTTTCTTGTGGTTCTTTCAAGTCAACTAAACATCCCAAAGGGACAGTTACCCATCAGCAGTTTTTTTTACAGTTTTGGGTAAGGATCTAGCAAATATTTTGATGGAGACAGAAAGGGAAGCTGTGTACAGGTGACTATATTGATGCAAAATTAGTCTTAGTGAAACACCAAAAATAATTGTTTCAAACTCATAAGAAAAAAACAATTTAAGTGGATCTAAAAGGAATCGTAAGTGATTATTTGCTATTACCCTCCTTATTGGTCCAGTAACTCAACTGAGAATACTCAGGGCACTATAGATACTAGATGTGGTTCTGTAACAAGTGCTTTCTTCCCCAGAAGAGCACATAAACAATACCAAGTACCTTTAGCACAGGTACTAACTGTGCTCAACTCTTCCTTCCCATCTAATTCTATATAAAGTGCTGAAATGTTGAGCGTTGATGCAGCTCAAATCTTGAGGTTTTTTCCAACAGAATAACAATACTCAAGTGCCATGTCCACTCATTATTTTACACCATACTGCTACTGTATCTACAACTTCTTAATTATGGGGCAGGCTTAAAGCAGAGCAGCCCACAGATTTGTAACTTCATCTGCCCCATGGTTAGTTATGCTGTAGGACTTACTCAGAGATGGATTCAGTGTCTCAAAGAATTTGAAAGTTTTAAGTGCACATTGATAAAGACTTGGAGAACCAAGACACCGGTGGGTGCAGGGCAAAACCTATCCTTGCATCCTTTTCACCCTTAAAATATAGGTTTCTTCCCACCTCATCCACAAAGGAAGATGGAGCAACAAGCCAAATGAAATATACTTGGTGTATACAATTTAAGTTATACTGACTTGGATACAGATGAAGGCAAAACAGGTTTATCTGGACGTTTTGGGTGCAGGAGCCCTGCTCTCAATAAGCTGTTGGTCTTGCTTGGAGGAATAGGCTTCTTGGGTGGTACTTGAGGAGCTTGTGGCTTCAAAGGCTTCTGATCCAAAGTTCCTTTTTCATCTGACAAAAAAGTCACCATAACATTTTAAAAACTCATGTTGTCTAGAATTCTTACAATGATAATCAATTAGAAAGCAACTGCTGTCAGAAATACTTTCTTTGAAGATCTGATAAAAGTGAAAAAAAGATATGCAAGTGTCTGAAGTGATACCTTATCAAAACACACGAACTACTTACCTGAACTTGAAAAATATTATGATAAAGTAAGCAAAATGTCTTCTTTACTACTGTTTGATGTCAGTAAAAAATTACGTATTCACATTACTGCACTGCAAATGACAGCTAAGAACCAAGAATCTCTCTGTACTGCTACTGCTTTCTCTTTTCTATAAATTCACCTTATCTGCTCTTAAAAAGGCAAGGTTTGTTTTTTTAATTTTGTTGTAACTAGACTTCTTCCATACACAAAAGCAGCATAACTTATCTATGGAAAAAAAGGAAAAAAAATGGTTATTCATCTAAAATAAATTCGGTTATTCAGAAAAAATCTACCTTACTACAAATTCAGGAAAAAAATAAGTATTGATAACCGAAGAAAGTTAGTTAAATTTGTTGTTCAATGACTGCATATGACCTAATTGAACACTGCGGAGTTGACACATAAACATGGGACTCTGAAAAATTCAAGCTGCTTCACATATCTTAGTTGAATAGCCTTCAACCCATGTCTCCGAATCACACCCTGTGGGATATCCAGAGCATACCTTCTACTTTTCTTTGTAAAACTATGCTACAGCTCAGTCAGGCATGCATAAAGTACTGAAGACTTAAAAGATCATTGTTAGGTTAGAGTAAGGAGTTACAATCCTTTACAGTTACTGCCCTTACAGGACAATAAATCAGTAAATTGGGATGGAGTGACTGACCTTCAGTTCTGATTGTCCTCAACCTCCCCTCCTATGACTTTGCTTTTAACCGAGTATTAGTCTAATGTAAAATGTTTACATACGGTAAGGATTTGGGGCTAGGGTTGGAAATTTGGTTCAGCTCCATCCCAGCTAAGTGCCTTAACTGCCAGGTCTATGACTGACTTCCTTTGGACAAGCCCTGCAGCCGTTAAGTGTCAGCCCTCCAACTGTAAAATGGGAAAACACAGATTTTCTTCCACAGGAATACTTCGAAGTAAACAGATCACAGAAATAGTTCAGCAAAAAAAAGAATTATCCAGGGCAGAATCATCTTCCTGCTTTTGGACATTTGAACATCAGGAGATATAAACTAAAAAACTAAACTGGTTGGCATCACCTTCCAGTCTCTCTTAGTATTGAGTTAAAAAAAAAATAAAATACTGAAGTAGTGGAAGGATTTTGCCACATGGTGGTGCTGACTGTCCCGTGTAAAACAGCCTGTTAATGGGGCTAGCCGCTTCTGCCTACTGATCCTCTAGGCAAAATTTAATTTTTAAATGCCCAATAGCCATTAGTATCAGTGAAGATCAATTAGCTTTAACTTAGGTATGCTGAACACAAGTTGAGAATTATGCCTTTTATTTTTAAGAATAAGTGAGTTCGTAAACAGGGCAGAAACAAATCCTCTTCCTGAATTATCATCTGTCAGTTTTCCCTTTAATTGCTCCCATTCAAAATCTGAATATAAACACCATCCATAGCTAAGTGGAAAAAGTTAATACCAAAGGTCAAGATTCACCATGAACACAGAAATTGGACAATTCTGCTGGATAAAATGGCATGCCTCTTTTTTGCATTTTGCTCTGCAATGAAAAAGATAAGGGTTGGCTAAAAATGAGCAGTTTAATAATGGAAATATTGATCTGAAGACATTTACAATAGACAAAAATTTCTACATGATACTAGCAAGCATCCTTCACTATAAATACAGAAATACTTTTAGGAGTATTGCTTTTAATTTTTGATAGGAATTAAAGGCAGATTTGCTAAGTCTCCCAATAGGCACAAAAAATTACACGGTTTCATAGCTTGTGATTAGAGCTGTTCAATTTTTTTTTTAACTAATTACAGTACAATTTCATATTTAATTGATTTAATAACTAGTATTAACATGGTTATTTTTCCACAAGTAAAACTGCACTGATATATGAGCATTTCTTCTAGTAAAACACTCCTGCAATATCTAAATAAGTAAGTTTTAAGACCTGACCTTCAACTGAATACACGACAAAATTTTCCTCCATCATTTCCTGTACTGCTGTAAAGACGGTTCTCTACCTTATTTAACTTTTCAGAAGCTTTCATGTTCCTACGCATTTTGGATGGTGTCACTCAACATTTTTTTTCTATACTAGTCCACAAACAGTTGAACTCAACTACGCAAAGGTTCACACCATTAGTACAAACAGAACCAGTCTAAAATGAAACTTACTTCAGTTTAAATAAATTTGAACTTATAAAGAGCCAAGCAAAATTTCTAGAATCATGCAGTTGATTTCAAGTCACACCTGCAGATACTGTTCCAACAGATAAAAATAATTTGTTTGCTCACATGCAGAGGAAACATAGCTGATTTTAATAAATATTCTTCATATGAAACACCTGAGAACATGCTTGATTTAAAATGTGGGTTATAAAAACTGCCCAAGGAAGCCAAGAAACCTACTGAGCAGGCTTACTTGTCAAAATGCTGTTCAGCCACTGTCAGCCACAGTTCACTATTCACAGAACAGAGTATGTTTTTGTAATATGGTTAAGCTGTAGTAGTCTTCTAACTCTTCTTTAAGACGCAGCCAGCATGCTTGTTTAAGCTTCTGACTTTGAACACAATCAAAACAGTTTAACAGTTTCCCTTGCCAGGTTTTTCAAATATGAAAAGAAGCATTTTAGAAGTGTGTTTGGATGGTAATAGCAGCTTATCTTCTGAAAAAAGGCATCCTTTAAATTTTTAAGAATAAAGTGGTAAACTTCTCCAATTCTGTGGAACTGGAAAACATGGAATACAGCAAGAATTAATAGGACAAGGAATCTCAATTTCTGAGCATTTTGACTGTAAAACCTGTCTACAGAGTGCTGTAACTGTTCCGTATACTTCTTTACTTTTTCCATCACTGATTTTGGTCAAAACATTTAGAAGCAGCAGCAAACATTTTCATTTTGAATAACTTACTATTCAAAACTGCAGTTACTATCACAGAACTATACTTAAAAGAATCGAATAGTAACCGTTATTATGCAGTGCCATAAACATTTTTCAGAATGCAATGCAATTACAGGAAATACACATTTCATGAAAGTGTAGTTATTGTTCTAATCACTCTGAACACATGTCCATAACATCACAGGCATAGGAACTTCAGCAGATGGCATCAAGAGAATCTTCTTAACAGGCACCTATCGCACAGAGCACCGAAGCTAAGAAGTGTGACTTGTTTGCAAGATCATAGTCTGAAATTCACTATGAAGAAAACTCATCTCACCTTTTTCTTCAGGCCTCAAAGAAGGGAATTTCTTCTCTCCAGCTGCTAATTCAGGCTTTGGAGCTGAATGCAAAAAAAAAAAAAAAAAAAAAAACACACACACCACCAAAAAACAAAAACACAAATAAACCATTGACATTTCTCAAAGAGCTTTAATTATCTGTCAGTAACTAAAAATATGACATACACCGACTTGTGTTCGTATTTTCTCCTTTGCAAGGAGTGTAATACCATTTATAAATGCTCATTTGAGCCCAGAAAACAGCAGGCCTGTATTAAAATGTTTCCAAAATAGACTTCATCATAATTTCGAAAAATACATAGCAGCAGCAAAATACATAAAGCATAAAAAGTAACCTCAAACTGTTACTATGGGTGGCTGCACTATAAGGAAATACAAAGCTACTTCTGAATTTTCTTTTGAAGTCATGCACTGCTTCTGAAATTTAATATTTCCTCAGACACATACCACCATACATATACAACATACCTGGACTTTTAACTGGAGGAGGAGGTTTCTTTGGCTTCTACAAAATGCAAAAAAGTCAAGTAAATAAACAAATAGATATTCTCTAGCAAAAACAGACTTATTTGTGGGGTTTTTTTTGCATACTGTAATGTCTAGCTTGTTTACTAGCTGCTTTCAAAGTATTTCAAAGGAGGCAAACAATTCACAGACAGGAAACACAGAATAATTCCTCTGGTATCTCCCAGACAATCACTTGCAAAACCAGGAACAAAATGCAGCTTTTTTCAAATCAGATCAGTACTTCAGCAATATGCATAAGCAGCAGAGGTACAAAGAACTAAAAACTAAAAGTTACATTTTTTCTAGTCCAAAGAATTGCTCTGATTGTACCCATTTTAATTTTGATACGTAAACCTTAATCTTAGTACAACACAAGTTTAAAAGAGTAATCAGGTAAATTTTTGAACAAAAAACGATCACTTTCACTGGGAAAAAACAGGTTCTATATTAAGTATCAGAACAATTATTTTAATTAATTGACTTCTAAATTACCATAGTGTAAGAAAAAAAATATAGTTAGCAGCATTTGCAACATAAACAACGCAGTTACATGACAAAATTGTTGTGAGCTTCCTTATCAGTGTACATTTAAGTGGGAAAGATGGACAAACTACTCTAGCCATTAAAAATTTACAGAGTATTACAGTGTCACAGTTTGTACACTGAAAATAATTGTATTTTACAACACAGCCATTCATCACTTTCCTTAAACTGGTAAAACTGAATTTGAATCTCTCTCCTGTTGAAGGAGTCCTGGCACCTCTCTCTCAGGACCAGCATCTCAAGCCACTTCATCCTCAGAATTTGATTCATGAAAATGCTCTAAAAAAGGTGTCTTTGTGGTTGTACTAAGGACAAGACTCACTGATAAAATAATCACAAAAGCCTACAAAAGCACTTGTTCACTTTATACAAACACTGCTGAAACCATATGGGCTCAGTCTAACACAGCCCCCCAGAAAATGCCTTGTAGCAGGTATTTTCAAAACAGTTGCTATGCATGGATTTAACTTCTGTGCCCCTACCTCTATTGAATAAGCTCTTATTAATGCAGAAAGATTTTATTCTGACAAGTGAAATGTAGTTAAGCAAGCATGAAAACCCATATTAAATTTCTTTCTCTAGTTTCAGAGAACACAAAAGCTAGTGAACTTAAGAACAAGACCCTATTTTCTTTCTTTCCGAAAAAAGCAAATACATTATCCAGCTGTGCAGCACTGCTGCCTTTATCAGAAACAGTAGCACCAAGTTCAGCATCAGCTTACAATTATAGCACTCTGATCTGTGTTTTTATTAAGTCGATATCAAATAGCTGTTTACAATTATCAGCCAACCAGTGCCTTGAACTTCAAAGCTGCTCAATGCAAGCTGAATCCCTGCACTGAGACACACTACAGAATAAAGGATCAAAGCAAGGTCTTTCTGCAGGAAACATTGTTTTTGGTAAAAGAACATTTTTTTTCTCTGTCTCCAGGGAGCAATTCTTTACTGCAAAAGACTGATACTACCCATCGACCCCTCAAATCAAGTCAGCCATATGTTACGGCATTTACACCATCCTTGCAAAGCTAAGAATCAATTTGAAAAGAAAACGCTGACTTGGAGTAACTAGACTTTCTGTGTATGTTGGGTAACTGAGGTTGAATGCCAAGTTAATAACTATCTGTCAGGTTGTATCTAGCAATCCTCTGTGAAGGTCTCCAGTTCCAGACCAAATGGCACTAAATTACCATGAAACTCTGAAACTCTGTTCTGCCAAGATACAGGCTTCAACATTTAGATGTCCTGATCTGGAGCTGAATCCATCCCATCTGGGGATGATGTACGTTTGTGAATTAACACAGTCATCTTTGCTACACAGACTTGTCAGAATCAAATCATCATCCTAATCCCAGAAAAAAAAAATTATAAAATAAGAACCAAAATTAATAGACAAAGGAGTAACACATGAAAACATGGATTTCTGTAAGTTAGCAAATGAGATGGTGAAAAAATGCATTTCTAGATCCCACCCAAAGTTTATCTTTCAGGCACTGCAACCTACTGGCAAGTCTTAACATAGAAAAATCCCAGTCGGTCTCACAGGGGTCATTCAGCATTTTGCAGTTACGGTTACTTATAGGACTATAGATGGAAGACACTGACTGCTTATCTCCTTTCAAAGCAGTAAGCATTTAATTCAGTAATCAGTTACACGTAACACCATGTTATCAGAACTATATCCTTTCTATATGACATAATATCGTCATTCATTACAGTTCACCTCAAAAAGCAAGTCTCAATGTTTGTGTTAAACTTCTTAAATATTAAACTAATGTTTAAATCTTTCTTCTTTGATATAGCTAGTACAAGATTAAGTTAGAAACTGCTGCAATTGCATTAATATTTTAAGCAGCATGATGTGCTGCAAAGTCTTTTATTCCTTACATTTTCATCGATACTTTTTTGTGGTACTAAATGACATGCGTAAGAACTTACAGGGAAGTCTTTATCAGACTCTTGTATTTGAACAGCAAAATTGTCTGGGAAGACTCCTTCTTTACCATTGAGTTCTCCTTTCCACCAGCCTGGCTCTCCAGTGTCCTAAAACAAGCAACAGAACATTTCAATGAATATTTACTTCTTCCCCAGAACAGATACAGCTACAGGAAAAATATTTTTGCTTTTACTCACAATATAAAAGTAATTGTTTGTCTGATATATCACATTTATAAGAGGAATACTTTATCCACCTTAGCAAGGTGAAACAGCTACAGATCAGATCAGGTTTGGTCACTTTTTTGTTGTCTAAAAAGCAGGATGAAATTATATGACACCATATATAAGATAAGGGTATAAGGGTAGGACCTGCAAAGGAAAGCACATAAAACTAGTTACGAGTCAATGCACAACACAATATTCTCAACTTCCTTGACTGCAACTTATTCAGCAAATATTTCAAGTGTCATTGGAGTATCACACAATTCTACTAAATAGAAGTAATTCTGATGTGATTGATCAAGTCCACTGGTCTGAAAAGGGTGAAAAAGCAAGAGGATACACCCTACTGAGGGGAAAAAATAACCACATTAAGACATAAGGAAAAAAAAAAATTCAGTGGCACAGAAATCCATTACATGATCTTAGTGGATTAAGGCCTTCGTTTGTCCATAACAGAAAATGTCGTTATTTGAATATTTTAGCAGCATAAGTAATAGCTTTCCTCTTTGCCTCAGTTCCAAAATACCGCAGATGTCACTCATCCATAAAATCCAAGTGGATTAATGCCGGTATGTGCCACTGTTACCAGCACCAAGCAGTTCATCCCAAAGTTCAGTACACAACAAGGACAATTTAGCACTCTGTTCAACTAAGATATTGAACAGATAAAGGAGAGGGGGAAAAACAACCACCACCTCTAGGTCAGCCCGATATATCAGCAGAGCAAAAGTACAAGTTATGAAGGTAAAACGGCTATTTGCAAAGCTTTTCCGATTTCCTCACTGAAAAGGCATTTGGTACTGGGTGTATATTTGGTCCGACTGGCCTTTGAGGAATCTAAGATAACTTCCCACTCTAGAACAATCTTTAAGGACAACTGTATCTTCACGGAGTGCAGAAGCAAAGAGCTGACACTCACATGAGACAAATCAGTCTACGGGAAGATCCACTCCAACACACTCTTCTGCTTTCACATTTTACACGTTATCTACCTGTACGAAACCCACAAAAGCTACATAAATGGTTAAAGCAGACAGAACGTCTTACCTTACTGATTATTTGTATGATCTCGCCTTCTTTAAAGCTGAGCTCATCATTTGAGCCTTCGTATGAAAATATTGTCCTGCAATATTCCTTGGCTGAAATAAAGCAGCACAATTACTACACTTGCACAGTATGTTACTACCCATGGTATATAATATGATAATATAATAATATGATACATAATATCAGCTCACTTGTGCTGTCTGCAAGGACAACTCAGAGATTATCACTATAATCATATTTCCCTTCTACACCAGCCATCTAGGACTGTTTTGGAAATGTTCACTATGTCATTCATATCACAAGAAAAATAAGATTATATATTTACAGAGCAATGGAGATAAATCTTTGTGAAGTTAGTAGTTTAAGCTCTGAAATATTTTTCCACAACAGCAACTTAATTCAAGTACTCTGACTTCAGAGGAAGAAGAGAGGAGCCTACTCACTTAAAATTCTAACAGCCTATCTAACCCTCCCTATAGCACTGTATATTCAATTTTGAGCTACTTCAGACAAAAATGGTTTCAAGCTTTTTATTGAGAGTTTATTTGATATTTTCTTAAAAATCTATCTAATCTCAAATTTGCAATCCTAATTAAATACATGCAATTGTTTTAGGGTGACATCCTTTGTACAATTACAATGTACACTAACAATGTACAATTACAGAAACTTCAGATACCCAGGCAGCACATTTGCTGAAAACAGGCAGTGAAATCAAGTAACTGAAGCAAAGGAATTCCTTGGACAAGCACTTGAAACCAGAGCTCATCGGAGCGATCAACTCAGACAGTCATAGCCTCTTCTGCAAAAAGTGGAAAGAATAATTCCTTTCTTTCCATTTGGTAGAGTTCAATAACTAATCTATTTAAAATTGTGATAACGACTTCAGGTAAAAAAGCAGGAGGATTTGTTTTCCTTTCCCACGCTAGAACAAAAACACCACGAGAAAGGCAAAACACATTAATACAGAAGTCCTAATTGCAAAGCATTTTTTGCACCTTTTTTAACCCCAGCACATTTAAAATTTTTTAGCAGATAAAAAGGCTGGATTTCTGTATCTGACAGATTAAGGAAGAGGAAGCAATCAAAATGGACTCTAATGCGCTGCCACAACCTATCAGGTATTTGGCACTGACACGACACACAAGCGAGCAGCCGTATCGACCTTCAGTTAGACAACAGCACATCAAGTCATCATTAGAATCATCTGTAAGTCAACTTGTTAGTGACTGTCTTTTGCTGGATGGTAAGAAAATAAATCAGTTGCAGTTGAATATTTTTGCTGTTGTTGTATATTGTTTAATCAAGATGTAAATCTGTATTTAAAAGAATGCACAAACTGTATCCTTAAATTAGTCTACCTTGGTCAGTGCCAACCACTGTTAAAATACAGAAGTATGCCAAACTCAAGAGATTTATATAGATACACATAGATATGTAACAACATGAGTAGTCCTAGGTACAAGAAGTTGCATTATTTTACTGCCTTATCTAGTGATCAAAAATGCTCAACTACAGATCGACTATATTGTGGTTTGTGAAGAGTTACAGAAACATAAGCAGAAAAGCATCAGAGATGAAAGTTTAAATTGAGGTTAAAAAAAAAAAATCACACCAACTAAAAAAATTCAATAGGTACACTAATATCTATCAAATTCAGGGCATTTATTAATTAGTAATGAGTAAGTATAACACAAGTGTAATATATTTCTATACACCCCGATTCTGTAAAAATACACATCTTATTTGTAAGCCTGATATTCCACCAGTAGTTAAGATGAAGAAAGAGTCCAGTTTAACTTTCCAGCACTTCAATCTAAGATGGTATTTACAAAACAGTAAGCTTGACCTTCAGTAAATATTTTTAATAAAAGGTAGTTTAAAATTGAATCTTCTCCAAAGACTTGGGACTAACAATATAGTAGCAGGAATCACAGATGTTGTATTCTAACATAAAGGGGAGAAAAAGGGGTCAAAGTGTGATGATTGTTTTTTTTAAACAAAATATTTTTACATACTTGCAGGAGAAAAAGGGGTCAAAGTGTGATTATTGTTTTTTTAAACAAAATATTTTTACATACTTGCATCAGAGGCCAAAACAAGCTTCCCAGAAACAGCAGTCACACCACAAAATAAACCACACTAGTCTAAACATTTTAGAGATTCTCTGATAACTTATTGAACACAATTTATTTAAAACTTGCTCTCTCAAAAGTGAGGATGATATACATAAACTATAACATGGTCTATATTAAAATAAAAACACTAAGGAAGAAAATCAAGCTTTCTTCCAAAGACTGGAAGATGTTCTTAAATGGTGTCTATAGGTATTATCTATTGATGTTCTCCTACAGCATTACTATTATATTTAAGTTCCTCTATGACGTGTTCATTTCTCTGGGGAGCAGAGACTCAGTATGGCTACTGGGTAAGTCTCCTTTCTATGTTTTTAGCATGAAATGCACCCGAAATTATGAAAAGAGCTAAATACTGAACATTCTGAGTGTTCAGTACTGAATATTCAGATTTTTGAGTCAAGACTTGGATTAATTTTTGTGAAAAGTTTTAGACAAGTCAAATTTCACAGTGCTCAGGGCTGCAAAATGTCTTGCTGGCTCTTACAGCAATGGCACTGGAATGCTTTAAAAGCACAATCCCAAGACTGTCCCAATTTTGATGTTTAGTAAAGATTTCAAAGTTGCAAGCAAGCATCGACTTCTATCAAATGCATCGTAGACAAACTTTTGATATATGCTCTGCAATGGAAAAACTTAAGTTTTAGCTACTTTTCAAGCCATTACATCCAACACTGCTTGACAGTAATCGGCTGTTTGTAAACACTGTCCTGCTGTTTATAGCCAACCAATTCAACAAAGCCAAAATGTGGCTAAAATGGCACGGATGCCTTATGTACTGCCACAGCTACAGATAAGCTAGGGCTCTGACTAACAAGCCTGCCATTTCAAGTGCTCTGTTCTGCTAGATTACACAACTCCCCAGCACAGGCAAAAAAAGTCTATTGTTTGTTGCAGTTTTCTTACTTCTGAAAATTATGCATTCCACGTAAAACAACCCACTTACACCAAAATAAGGTATTTCCGCATAAAACAAAAATATACTTGAAATTACAATACAGAAGTCAAAAAAAGGCCTGCTCTGGAATCGGGCGAAATGAGCTGTCTACACATCACGTAACTGAAGTTAATTTTTTATATGGGGTTGGCACTCTCACAAGATGTTTTGGGTTGACTTAAAAATATACCTCTAGATGAAACTATGCAATTTGGTAGTTAAATAAAGTCATAAATTCTTAGAGATAATAAAAAAGAAAAATAAAAACAAAGTTGTTATAAGCAGAACCACAATGGAACCGGATTATCTGGGGAACACACTTCAAGAAAGCATAAGCACCAGCTTTCTGATACATGAAACTTCGCATACAGCTACGACAACACACTAGCAACTCCATAGTAAATCCTGAGCCTAGACAGTCACTTCTATAGCCTCGGGACAGAAACGGAGCCAGGGGACTGTTCCATAACAACAAGATTTCCAGCATCCCAGCTGAACACTAAAAGCTAGGCAGAAAATAATTCAGTTTGAGCACATCAATGTAGCAAATTAATGCAAAGGGGCTGCTACAATAAAACTATACGCTAGCCTTATTTTGTTCTGGGAGACAATCCTACAAATGTTTTTTTGATTCATTTTCCACAGAAATGCAAGCAAAACCTCCTTCAGACTCTTTTGCATTTGCCTAACTCCTCAAAACTACAGAACATTACACAAAAACCCAGTATACACAGAAGTTTAAAATTCTAACACAAAAAATGTGACAACCAAATACTTCTCTAGAGAGGACTACCAAATAATAGATGTAACGTTCCATCAGCCTTACCTTTTGGTTTACTTTCAGCTTCTGATTTTACTACTTCTGATGAGTTTTCAATTTTTGTTGTACTGGGAAAATGAATTAGCTTTGTTCCAGGGGGATGGTTAGGTGATGGCTATATGAACAAAGGAGAACTTTGTTAACAAAAATTCATTGAGTTTTACTTTTCATTAAGCTACAGGACATACTCAGGTTTTCATTAGGTGAGATGATGCGAATTACCATCTCCAAGAGATTCAGTGAGCTTTCCCAGTAAGTACTTAACTTACTGTATTTACTTCATTACCACAATTAGAATTTTGTCTACCAATTAAAGACACAGCACAGCTTTCACACTGTGAAACCAATCTCAGGACATTGCCAGATATACTTTTGCAATCGTATTTCAGCAGTTCCAAGTGTTACTGTGCCATTATCCTGAAAATTGCTTCCTCCAGCACAGAACAGAAGCGGTTATTTAACAGCTCTGCTGGAAGTAACTCACTGACCATGGTTACTTTGCACTGGAGTAAAGCAGCATACACCACGTCAGCAGAAGGGGCAATCAGTTTTTAACTACTCAGACAAACGTAAGAGCAAATGAAAGTTGTCCCAGCTCCTCTTCACTCTTAAGAGATTTGTACAGAACAGAACCAGAACTAGACATCTCTCCTGAACAAAAAAAAACAGAGGCATTGCAACCAGTAACAAGTTTCAGAGTTAACATCTAACCAAAATAATTGTTACGATTTTTTTTTTTTTTTTTTTTTTCCCCCCCGGAGACTTAGTGAGCTGCCAGGAAGATTCAGCAGCCACTTCTTCACAGCCCTATGAGCTACAAACATAGAATATGATCTTACAGTCAGTACTTACCTGAGCAGCCCTAACAGTGTTACTGACATGAAAAAACCCGTTGCCTTTCGTTATTCTGTTCATTTTCATTTACAGTTAAGCTTCACAGACCTTCTTCTGCCAGGGAAACTAGATTTACTCTCCTTAAACTCAGATGATGCCTGTGGGCTGGTGCTCAGTACCTCTGACATACCATAGAGGAAGCCACGGTCACTTGGGATGTTCTTGGAGTACATATGCAATCTAATTCACTCCAGAATGCTATATGAAGGAAGCACTAAAATATCCCACCTATGAGACTAAACAAGTCCATCATGGAAACAGTTCTCTATATTTCCCCCTTCCAAAACAAGATGCAATTAGAAGTGAGAGAGGAAGTTTAGGCAGACGGGGTATAAATAGCCTGAGCCCAGGCAGGATGCTGGGACCAGCTATTTATCTCCTGCAGGAGCATATATACTCTTGAGCACTTCAGGTACATCAGTGCTCAGCCTTCCTGTGCTGAACAGTCTTCAAATCCCCCAAGGCAAAAAAGCCCTCTCTGCTCTAGAATTTCCTGATGACACCTTTTTTTTCTAATGGCTTAAAGACTGAGAATGCCTTCCCAGCATCCCTCCATCTAACTAAAAAGCGAATTGAGCACAAGTCCAAAGCTGCCATCCATTTTCACAAGACCTTCACGAGACTTATCTTCCTAGGGCTCTCCAGGTTGCTCTGTAAGTTTGTTTGCCTTTGGGCAAACTTTGGCAACAAGCATAAGTGGAATATTAAGTGCTAAACTCAACTGTTTATTTCATTGTCTTCAAGCTATGTGAAACTCCTTCCTCACTTCTTTTCTGCTCTTGCTGAGAAACGGCCTACAACAGCTTTCTAGACAAGCCAACCAACAAAACAGGGCGCCAACATATTTTAGTGTTTATACACAATCAAATAATACAATTCAAAGTGTCTGCAAAGACTTCACATTAATTGACCATACTTCAGATAGGCTCTTTTTACTTCCAAACTACAAGGCAGAAAGTAGGGAAACGCACTTCTGAACAATCGATCTCATGACAAAAAAGCAAATTGAAACCTAGGTCCTGAAGCCCTCGTGTAACAGCATTCACACGATGCAGTGATCCCACAGACTCCTACTTCAAGAGACAAAAGCCTGGAGAGAACCAAGGAAAATCAATGTGCCTTCACAGACTCATAGAAGGGTCTGGGTTAGAAAGGACCTTCACTACTAATCATCTAGTCCAACCCCCCTGCCATGGGCAGGGACATCTTTCACTGAGATCAGGTTGCTCAAAGCCCCATCCAACCTGGCCTTGAACAATTCCAACAATGGGGCATCCACAACTTCTCCAGGCAACCTGGTCCAGTGTCTCACCACCCTCATCACAGAGAATTTATTCCTGATGTCCAATCTAAATTTACCCTCTTTTAGTTTAAAACCATTGCCCTTTGTCCTGCCACTACAGACCTTGGTAAAAAGTCTCTCCATGTTTCTTATAAGCTCCCTTTATATACTGAAAGGATGCAATAACATCTCCCCAGAGCCTTCTATTCTCCAAGCTGAACATCCTCCTCCACAGGACCTCGAGGATATTCCCTGAGCCTTAAACAGAAGGCAACACTCTTGTTAACTTTCATTTTCTGAATCATCTGATGTTTTGACTGGATCAGAAACAAAGAGGATACACACCATGTCTATAGGTGGTTGAGCTCTGCTCTTAGCACTGCTACAGAGAGCAAACACATTCAAGGAAGTCTCTGACCCTACTTCTCTTCCCAGGAATTCACCCCATCTTTTGCCCTACACTACTACACTTATTTCCGTAGCAGCAAATCAGTCAACAAAACAGCATTAATAGCCATAACCCACAAACAAAAAACTGATCGTGGACCAAGGTTTTAAAAGCTTTCTTGAATTGATCACCTGAGTAGAAACTGAAACACTGGGTTTACCTCAGCTACCTTTAAATTATCAAAAGCTGAAAATCCATACTCAGGCTCTTGGTATAAACAATGCATAAGTTCAAGATAAAGGACTGAGCGTTGCTGTTGTGCTTCCAAGGTATAAGAGCACTCTCAGGTTCAGATCAAAATAAAAGTCAAACTAAAGCAATTTCGTTATCATCACATTATCTGCTCTCTCCTAAGCTTTAAGTTCAATATAGAGAGTAAAAGTGCTCCTCTTCCCACTCATGCATAAAAAAGGGGGAAAATGAAACAGGATGCAAAGCTGTAGAATAGTATTTCTGAGGCTTACACAATCAGCAGTTTATGTAGCTCATTAACCTAAGACATTACCAAAGCCAAAAAGCTTGGTAGCATTCACTGAAGGACATTTACATTGGTAATGACGGCTGACAACTATAACAGTAATCTCAACATCCACCAAAACATGCAAAAAAATCCCAAACCAAAAACTAAAGAAACCCCAAAATACTCCTTGTTTTAAAGGACAAGTTTAACTTGTATGGAAAGACTTAACACTCTTGTCCCAGATTGTATACAAACTCTGTTACAAAGAGAACTAGGAGAGACCTTGTACTGTAGATGTGTTTGAGAAATTACGCCTTACACCACGTGGCTTTGAAACAACGTTTGTACCAACTTGGTTTTTCGTCTCTAATGTTTTAAACACTAAGACATTTGAGTAGAACTCTTGGAATCAACGTTAAATATAACTTACTATGAAAGAAGTTTGAGGGGGTTTGTTTTGTTTTCTAGGCAAGAGCCTTATGAAATGACTATGGTCTGATTATGGAACAATATTGACAAATTTTAAAACAGCCAGTGTATTCAGCATCTGTAAGATTATGTCTTCAGATACCACGTCTTTTAAATTATTTTTACAGGAAACCCAAAAATAACCATATGAACTGCTACAAACCTTATCTTGCTTTTTATCTTCTGATTCATTACTTGACAATCTTGTCTTAAGTTTCACTGAGCCTTCTTTAAAGATGTCTCCAAACCCAATACCTCGGATTTTCTTTGGCTGTGCTGGTCCAGATCCAGGTTCACTCCCATTTCCTGGAGAGACCACAGGTGAGGTAGGACCACTGAAAACAGACTCTGAAAGTAAAAACAGGAAGAAAAAGTTGTTTTAATATCTGAAATTATTTATTTGCTCTTCTGGGAAAAAAACATGGGAATAGCACAGCTGTGTACACTGCTCTTCCTAAACAGCTTTTCTAGGAAGATTATTGTAGCTGTAATATCTCACATTTGTTCTAGTTGTATATTTAACACAAGGCCATTTGAAATAACACCAGTATTGCATTGAATACTGGTGTCAACTAAGTCATTAGATCACTAATATTTCTTGCTATTTCAATAACAGACTGTAGAGTCTGAGTGGTAAACATCAACGTTATGTTTTCCATTAGTTTTATGAAACATTGCTTATGCATTCTCTGAAGACATGTTTTTAGTGCAACATCTAAAAGCTTGTCGTTTGCACAGCTATAGCTGCTGAAAGCCATAATCGATAAAGGTTGATAATGAGTCCTACCATGTTTCAACAGCCACAGGAAAAAACAGTGTGTTTCAGTAGTAGAATGATGCCTCTCAAGGCACTAAAGTGACATATCCCTATTGCTCAAAATGCACTATCAAAAATACCTAAAAAGAGTTTCTTGCAAATTTATTTAAATAGCTTTTTAACCTGATAACACTTAAAACCTATTTTAAGTTATGTAAACATTCAAATCAGATATAGTTGTTTGAGATTAATCACTGGTAGATAACAAGTATTTAAAATTCTTTTAATCTTTCAGTTTTAAGGGACAACATTTATCCACCCCCAAAAAATGTAGTTCAGAGAAGAACTTAATTTAGGTGTTGGGAGCTTTTAAGACTGTTTTTTAACTTCTAAGTTACAGTCAAATCTGTTAAAACCTACAAACTAATAGTCATGGGCAAACTATTTCCATGTGCAGATTTCCAGGAGATAGTCATGTGAAAATAGACAGCTTGCTTAAACCAAATTCAAAATAGCCTCCACATCTTTTAGCTTTTCAGTTAAGTTCTTCCCAGCATATGTAGGTCTAGGAATTCCTATAAAGATTAAAGCCTCTTCCCTCAACCGTAATTTAAGGAGTTTTGATAACCATGAATACATAACCTCTTGATTTCAGTTTCTCTCCTTTCCTTAATTGAGTTACTCTTCACTTAGTTATATCACTCTTAGATATCTAAAAGGATAGCTAAGAAATTCCACTGATGAGAAAAGTCCGGGTTGCATGTTTGAAATACCATAGCTCAGCGAATGGGGCATTTACTGTTTCCTGGGAGTGACGAAAGAACTAGCAGATACTTGAGATCCTGACTGTGAAATCACTGAGAATTAAATATAACCTCTGGGGGTGTGAGGGGCTGAAAATCATTACTTGTTAGTTACTAACAGAAAATACAAAATACTTCAAATTACTGTTCAGTCCCACTGATCTCAGCATTCAGGAATTAGGACCAGCACATATCCATTTGTAAATTCATCTCACCAGACCCCATTAAATTCAGGGAACTTGACCTCCAAGGAGACAGCGACTGAGCTATTTGGGACTGCTCAAGTCAAACTCTTGTTTTACGCTACTGTAATTACTTCCACAATTCACAAAAAAAAAAAAAAAAAAAAAATTCCAAGCCAGACCTTCCTTTCCTGCCTCTGAGCAAACCCTTGTTAGAAACAAACAATACTGAACATCGTGTAAATGAGGGTGCACATTACTACAAGGAAAAAAAAAAAAAACAAAACAAAAAAAAACCCCAAAAAACCCCCAAAAAATCACTTCTTCCCCTTGAACTTTTACACAGCTGTCTTGAAGCATCAATTATCTCACATTAAGATGTTGTTCCCAAAGAACACTCCCATTTCAGAGTATCACATCACAAGTCCCCAGCCTTCAAATGGGTATTCATAGACAGAATGCCTCTAAAGTGCAGTTTCAAGGGAGCAAAGTATTTGCCTGTAAAGCATGTACCTGCCTGGCCCCACTCAACAATTGCTCAGCCAACAGACTGTCTGCTTCTGCCCAAGCTACACAGTCATAGTCACAAAGGAATGGCTAAATATAAATACTACCTTAAAAACATTTCCTTGTTAGAGTAAAACATCATAAAAATGAATCCTGGGAAGGGGGCCCTGGTTCTTAAGTTGAGGGTCTCTACACTGTCCTAACTAAATTCAAGTTTTAATTCTCAATTGACTTGGTTAAATGCTTAAGTTTTTCATGTTAGAGAACTCATGTCTGTGAGAATAAGACTAAAAAAAGCTATTAACTGGAAAAATAATTCTATATCCAATACTAAAAAAGCTCAACTCTGAATATGATGAAATTTATAGTGATAAAATGCATAATATACATTTGCAAGGTCAAGATCTTGACTGCAATTTTATTAGACATGCAGTGGGAGCAAGACAGGTATCTTCATACTTAGCATCAGTATTTCCTAGAATTAAATTACTTACCATTCATTAAGAAGCTTGAATTCTTTACAAGTTTTGTTGTACTACAACACTATTACTCCAAATTACACCTGAGGTCTAAAATGACTTTACTAAGGGTTTACAACAAACAGAATACCACCTGCATCATCCAGAGTGTCCTGTGTTTCTCCATCATCCATCAATTCCAATTCTTTCACGAAGTTTGAAGGAAACAACCCTGCCTTGCCATTTAGTGTTCCACTCCACCAGCCTTCTTCTACCTGTATAGAAATATTTTGCACATTACCAATAAAGCAAAAGGAAATTCCTATCATTTCCATCCATACTTCACTTACAAAACTCTAGAAACAACTTTGGGGAAGTTCAAACGACCATGATTTCTCTTTAAAGAAACCCACCAGAGATGTAGAAACAGCAGGCAGTAAGAAGAGCAAGAAAATAATTTACTGTCACTTCCATCACTACAGCAATGATCCTGAAACATAAGACTAGTCCCATGCCAATTAATCCAGAAGAGAAGCAAAATGTTCACCAACTTTCTCAAGGTAAGACAGAGTAACAGGCGTTACACATCTAACAGAAGAAGAAAATATTAAAACTGTTTATGAAATAAAAATGCAACTTTTAGTCTGGCTTCCCAAGGAAATTTTTATGTATTCTTGCTGTCCATCTGTCTTTTCCTCTGTCTTGTCCAGTCTCCACCAGTCTTATTCCCACTGGCCTCTTATCCATTTAACAGCTTCAAACAATTTTGAACAAAAGACACAAGTTTCATGGTAGAACAAAAAAAAGGCCTTAAGGACGTCACAGAGTAATGGAAACCTAAGCTGTCGACTCCTTTTAGCAGGACGCAACTGGCTGAACAGCATACGCCTAGCTCTAGATGTGTCAGAAGATACGGATGCTTTCCCATCAGAGCTGGCCAGCCAATGAAGGTAGTTGAGACGCACGAGGATTTTGTGGTGGCATACAGCAGTTCTAAGAATGGAAGTCTGTCGGATGCCAAATTCTGCTGGCTTTGCTATTCACAAAATAACTCATTTTTTGCACTGGAAATAAACCTGTTCAAGAATTTGGAACATGACTACTCTAATGCTCAGTTACATGCTTGGATTCCCAGTGTGTCATTTACTCTGCAATACTCCAAATTTAATGGAATGTTTATCAGGAATATCCTATGGCCCAAAGCAGAACAAGCAAAAGCTGGGCATGCATAGGTGATGGTATAAAACAATGCCAGAAGATTGAGTAAGAATTGTGTTTTTCAAATTTATGAAGAATTTTCAAAATGTCTTAAAAAAATCAAATGTATTTGCCTAATGAGCACTACTTCAACACTGTAGCTAAGACAATTTTTCATAATATTTCATTTCAATTGCTCTGTTTTAGGGATGGAAAGCTGTTTTTAGAAAAAAAAGAAAAGCAATGGGGGGGCAGGGAACAGCAGTTGTTTACATTATCTTTTTTTAGCCTTGTTTTGTAGGTCACTACGCCTGACACACAGGCATAGTTTTTAAACGCTAGCCTACCTCCAGGCAAGCAAAATGCATGCAAAACCTGGCAGCTACAGACACAGACAAGCAATGAAAAGAGCACTGTTATTTCCAAAGACATCCTGGTGCTCAAATATAGCTTTGCTGTGGATTGTTCAACTTCAGAGTCTGGTTCTCTGAAACAAATTTTAAGGGTAGATTACTGACAAGTGCTGACCAGGCTCTGGCACCTTGTGCTTTACAGAATACATTACAGAAAACGAAAATTGGAATGCCTTGTCTCACCCATACTACACCCAAGAGCTGTGAGAAATGGACTTTTAATGCTTACGATACAGAAAACACCTTGAGGATCCATGTACTCTCTGCCAAAAATAAGGTCAGCAAAGCACTTTACAGACTTGGAAGGCAAAGCGATGCCAGTTCAGAGACAGTCAGGAATAAAACAAAAATTTCTTGAGCATACTTCTTGAGCATTCTTCAGCCTCCTTACCACACTGTCTTTAAAAAACCTGACTGTATGCAAACTATGTTACCAGAAAAGATATCTTCAATCGACATTAAAAAAAAAAACAGGTAAGAAAGTTCTACACGCTTTGGTGGAGAGCAATCTGTGTATCTCTGGACGCCAGCACCACAGATGACTATTTCACAACTCTGATCTTCCATTTCAAAAATCTTACCACATGATACAATTTCCACAAGAGGGAGTTAGAGCTCTGGTATACACATCAATACTTTTTGTTTTTTTGGAGTGTGAATTCCATCAACTTATTTCTGTAAGCTGATGAAAACCCAGGCTTCTAAACAAAGTCAGGGAGACAGGGAGAAAGGCTGAAACAAGCAGTTTTACCAATATGGTATTTTAATTTTTTAAATAAAAACTCCACAACTGGAGTCACATGAATTTAGATTATGCTTGATAATACGCCATGCAAATACTACAAATATAAAACTACAAAAATAAATCTGCTATTTAGTACTGCATCTGACAGGAGTGGGGGGAGATACAAAGGAGAAATAAAAATTTTACAGCAATGATACAGTTTTCATATACACTTTGTGTGTTTATTTTGCATGCAAAACCACATGTTCTGCAAAGAAAAAGCCCTGTGGATTCAGCCAGCACACAGCACAAGGGCCTTCTTCCCTAAAGGTACTTGTGATCCTTGTAGCCTGCTCTCTTTAGTGTTACCCATTTAATTTCCAAACCCATCTGCCTCTACCTTCACAATCAGTAATGTCAGTTGTAACTACTCAATTTATGAAAACAATTGCAAGGGATAAATACTGAGTTATTCTCAGGTAACTGCAGAACCGATCCCCTTCTGGAGTTGATTTTACCTTATTTTCCCCATAAAAAAGGGACCAAATGATCTTTCATTGAAGTAACAGTTATGAGTTATCTGCATATATATAAATAGCACCTTTGATATATAAATGGAAGCAAAGATCATTTCACAATAGCGAAGACAAGTTATCCCAGCACACTGCACATCCAATGGATGGTATTTTCTACTGTTCTTCACATTTCTGGTCCACCAGTACAGTTTCGTGAAGCAGACCTAGCCTATACCTGTCAGGTGTATTCTAGACCCTCTTAAAAACAGTGCGTAAACAACTCTATTCTAGTAGTTAGCTGCAGTATTTTTCTACCTTGTAGCATTTATCTAAAAATTTCATTAATAGTTTTCTCCTCAGAAGTAGCAAAGGCTGGGTACTACAAATATGTATTTTCAAATCATTAGGAAAGGAAGAAGCATGGAGACTGACCAAAAAAAAGTTATAAGAATAAAACCCACGTTTCCTTACGAAACCAGATGAGGAAATGCTTTGATCTTTTTATTCTGTTTGGTTACTTTGTCATCTCTGATACATCACACTGAACACCCCTCTCAAAATAATTCCAGATGTTGACATGTGTGACCCAAAACAGAAGCTTCCATAACAGTTTACTGCACATGTTATCTTTTGTAGATGCTTATACTGGACCAAAGTCATGACTGTTGTGTACAGGCACTATCCACAGATGAAACTGGTAAGGTTATCCAGAAGTACTCCTTTACAAAACATCCACACACAACGGTAATTTTGAAACTCTGATTTTAGTGAGCAGATTTTACAAGTCACTTGCTCTGTTTATTCAAAGGGAACAAATTCTGGAAGTCAGTAGCGCAAATACATCTAAAAGCATAACTTTTTCCTTGCTAAGAGAATGGAAAAGTCCTTCCTGGCAACTGTCAGGATCCCGGAGAGTTAGCACTCTCTTCAAAAGAGGTCATGCATGTGAAAAAACAGTCTCAAAGCTACTTAAAAAGCACCACCAAACACATGGCTAGAAAGAAAGGTTCGATCTTCTCCTTCCTCCAACTCTCAGGGAGGTGGTAAGAAGCGACGGCACCAGTGAAGGTCAGAGCATGCCGTGCAGAACTTTTCCACCTAGTTCCGAAAAGGTTCCTTGCATGATTGCTCTGGTCTTTTCCACAGGTTCCCTGACAGATTCGGCTCTTGTAAGAGACACTCCTCCCACATATTCAAGCCTCCCACAACACAAGCTGCTATTTAATTAACAGATATCAGGGAAGGACTTCGGTAGGAAAAGAAAGGAAATCCCTACATCTAAGGTCCGTCTCAGATATATGGGGCCATTGCCATCAAGTTCTGAACATCAAGACAGATCTTTATATTTTTCACCCAGTGGAAAATGAAGGCAAGAGAAGTAACATGTTGCTGAGTACATTTGAACATTCTGTATTTTTGTGCAAGTGGGTCAAAATATATACTCCATGTACAGGTTTATTACTGAATACTGGTACTGTAATTCAAAGTTTTAATGACTTCACAAGAAAGCACAAAACTAGAAAATCAGGTCAAATAACATTTTTCACTTAAACCAAGTTAGGGTACGTCAACTTAAAGGCAACTGGTCAAACAGTTTTAGTATAAACATCCTAAAAGTGAGTATCACATTGACAGGGCCAAAGAACTGGAAAAGTCTTTCAGAAAAGGAATCCGTGTAACAGATCACAATTTATTGCTGTGATGATCAAATACTTCTCCTATGCCCTGGTTTCGGCTGGGCTAGCTAAACATCTAGTATTTCATTGATTTAGGATAAGATCCCGAGAAAAAGAACTCCTGTTAGCTTTATCTTCAAAAACACTACTTCCCATACTATTTTTCCAACATCCTTGCAATTCAAGTAATCAGACAAAAAAACAATTTGTCTTTTGGACACATAAAGAGACAATCAGCTCTGTTAAACAGCCTACCTCTTCATTGATGTCGATCACATCCCCCAACTTGAGTTCCAGCTCATCCTCGTTCTGTGGGATGTATTCGAAGAGTACTTTGCACTGCCGCTTCTTGGACCCTGATTCAAGGGAAATGGCAAAAGTAAGAACGTTTGCAAAGGAAAACTAGTTTTTCGCTACACTCAGCTCCTGAGGATCAAATCTGACATGAAGACCCATAAACAATCCCAAAAAGCTACGTAACTTTTGCCGCTGGTTTTCTAGTTTGCTTGTGTCACTTTAGCCTAGCTCTAAGATACAGCTCGCTAAGTTTGAAAACCACTGAGCTTCACAGACTGCTGGTTACAAACACACACTACACTGCCAATTACCAACATGCTATAAAAAAAAACACGTTGACACAAGCCAGTCAAGTAAATCCCCAGTACAAAGATTTTCAAGCTATTTCCTGACCAAAATCTGCAAGAATGACAACCGCTGCCAGCTGCAGTGTTAGTACTTGCTTGGAAGAACATGTGCAAGTTTGAGCCTCCAATCTTTAAGTAATCTTGAAAGAAAAAAAAGTTTTGTTCTGCACAACACTGAAGTGCAGGTAGCCTTTATGCCCTCTAACAAAACCCTGCTAACTAAAGGTCTGACATAATGCTAGTATTTGCTCGGCTCATATTTCAAAATCCGACTCATTTTTATCTGCAAATGCAAAAAACCTCCCTTTTGTCAGTATGGAGTCGAGAAATCAAGCCTAAGCTTCAATTAGCAGTGTTTGACAAAGGCAAAGTTAAAATAAAGTGAAGTCTTCAGATGTTTGCTACATATCAGTAAAGCTCTGCAGGCATTAAAAAGACAAAATGAGATCCTGAGCGGGGAGAGAATTGAAGTTCCAACAACCCTTCCAGCCAGAGCGATGTGAACCTACTATTGCTCAGTTACACAGCACGTATCCTGGAGTGATGCTACTGCTAGCATTTCTCCTTCAAACAAGAGGCCATGCCTTCAGACCTTTTCCACAACAGAGCAGCCAGCATGCTTTTCAAGGCAATTGCCATCTTGAGCTATGATCCACACACACTCCCTATCCGCCCCAAAACAATCTGCTGCAGTTTAAGTGAAAATATTAACCAAAAGCTTGAAGTAGTAAAGCTTAAAGCTTATAGGAGCTGTATAATTTCTATTACTCCCTCTTACACTTTGCACTTCTTCCACACTCAAATGGAACATACACTTCAGCAATTAAGATTAGCTTGTTAAAAGCATTGCAAAACACAGATACTGCCTCCAAGACTGATCCTTGTCTTATTATAGGAGCATTGAAAGTCCAAAGTCAGACGTTCAGAAGACCACCACACCCAGCATCCTCAGTACAAAACACGCCAGGCAGCCAAGTAATATTCAGCATCTAAAATTTCTGAGAGCTCACTAAATCAAAAATTCTTCTACATACTAGTATATGGTCTGTGCTCTAAAGAGCTTAAAAGGGACAGGAAACAAATAAGCCAAAAGTATGAAGCTCCGTGGGTTATTTCTAATAACACATAATTACCCACGTAACATACCCTTCTTTTAACTCCACTGAAACTCATACATCAGCCAAGAGGGACTGTTAGGTTAACAGTAATTGCAAGAAACAGTTCACTGGTCTTTACTACCGCCTACAGCACTTTCAGGGCTCCTCCTTTATACGAGATTAACTGATACCAAAGAAAGGCAAAATAAAAAGTCACGGCCATTTCGATAAATCTGATTTCAACATTCCTTTTCATACTGTAATTCTATCTAAATGGGGGAGGGAACAAACCTACAGATGCATTTCACATCCAGAACTCACTCTCACCTGCAGTCAGTTCAGTGATAGCCAGTTTAGGAAGTACTGCCTTTCAGTTTTGAAAATCCCTAGATTAACCTAGGAAGCTAACCTATCCACTCAGAAAACAACATTGCAGCTTCACATGGTGCAGCAGGACTGGGCTGGCAGCCCCCAGGCAATTCTGTCCGCTTCCAAAACAACTTGTCTGGCTTCAGGTTTTATTTGTTTTGTATAGGGTAAACCAAATTTAGCCCTTTGTTGCCATAATTTAGCACACCTCCTGTATTTTCCTTTTCCTGAATAAAAGCAGCCATCTAACTGATAGGAATAGTGCCTGCAGCTTACTACCCACCTGATACAGAATACCTGAATTCAGCAAGAGCTGCACACGAGAACACCGCAAGAGACTTCCCAGGCAGAGACAACCTACCTCACCACACACTGGAAACCCGCTGTCAAAGAATCTTTACGTTTCTTTTAACATTGTAAACTTCATTTTGCAAAGTTAGGAACCAGAAACAGAAAGACTAGGCACTGGACTAAGCACCTTTTGAAGGGAGTGAGCGATTACCCAGGCACCGAGCAAACAGGATCTGCAGGAGCTGTTTAAACAGTCTTCCAGGAAAGAGGGAACAGCAAGTAAAATGGAAACACCGAGACTGTCATTACACCAATTAAACAGCTGTGTGCTTAAAGCAAGGCGCTTTGTTAAAGCATTTTTTTCCAGGAGGATAAGACTAGCCAGAGCACTGGCAGAGTTGGGAGACCAGGCTGTACGTACTACTCTGGCCACAGCCACCAACATGAGGATGAGACACGCTGAATACGGATTGTTCCAGGGCTGGGGAGACCAGAATGAGTAGCCAACACTTGAACTGGTCTCAGATCAAGTTCACAGAATCCTAGAATATCAAGTTGGAAGGACCCATAAGGATCATGTTGATTCTCTTTCAGAGCCTGGTTGCATTAATCTAGGAAGAGCATTAATCCTTCAGGCTAAATTTTCAAAAACCTGCTGATGCAAACATCTAACAGGCACATATGTGCTGTTGCTAATATGCATATACAGATCAGAGTCACCAAAAAGTGATTTTGAAGGTGACATCCTTAGTTCATCCTTAGTTGAAGAAGGTTTCAACACATTTGTAAATCTTATGGTCCCATTTCAGGGCTTTAAAAGACAACTAGTTGCTCTTCTCCTTTGTGGGCAAAAACTCAAAGCATAAACATACCAGAAACAGTAAGTTCTAAATTCTTTCTAAAAAAGCAAGCTTAAATCATAAATGCCTGCAGCCCCTTATAAGAGAGAGGAAGCCAGAGTAATTTAGAGCAATGTCTCTTATAAGACTGAGGTGTCCAAATACAAATCACAAGTCAATTTCCTGGATGCAGGGAATGCTAAGTTTTAGTCACCTCTAGGTTTTAGTCACTTTGATCTAAATACTGGCATTAAAACACAGAAACCACAGATACAGAGGCACCACATCTACACTCCTGATCATCCTGGGGGCTGCAGCTACAAAGACAGACCACTACTTTTTCTTAGACACCACCAATTCCACCTTATTTCACATTAGAAGCAAGCCTAACAAACAAGAGGAACCTGAACTACAGAGCATTTCCTTGTCACAAAGCCCTGAATTTGTAGCAAAACTTTCACGTTTAAAAGAAATGACCACAGGAAGATTTTTGACTATCATGAACAGGACTGCAGTTCACATTCAGGTACCTGACAATACAAGCACAGCTCACGTGAAGTTACAGAGCAACTTTCTGGCATCTGGAAAGAGTCTAAATCCTGTTCCCTGGAAAATTCATCCCTATTGCTGCTGTTAAGAACTACAAATAAGCTTTCTGCCCATGCAGAATCTGCCCAGGAGCAGAATTTGGCTTCGAAACCAAGTTTTTGCTCCCATGCCTCAGTTTTAAGGGTGTACGGAAAACTAAAGTCAGACATTCAATAATTCATGTTTATTAAAAAAAAAATGCACGTCAGCAGCTTACGCAATTGAAGGAATTGGAAAGACTACATACTCTTCTTGAAGCTTTTGGATGGGGGATGAGGCTGAAATCCTCCTGCTGGAAGCCCATAGCTGCTCATACGCTGCACAAGACTGGCTACATTGCCAGATTTCTCCCTCCTTACTGGTACGGCATCATCCTTGGGCTCTACATCCTTCTTAACTTCCTGAAACAAGACATTTAGAAGACTGAAAGGCCATTTAAATTACCCAAGAGTTCAGTGTTTTTAGACAGCCACCCCACAGACTAACAGATTTCAACTACTTACCATTTGGTGTGTAATGACATATTATACTCAAAAATCATGGCAACCTGCACCTAAACATATTAAAGGCCTTAACAGACTTGACCCTTCCATACAATCATCTTAGTAAACAGGTAAGCTGATGTGCTGAGAAAATTCAGAAACGGGCAGTATTTTAGCCATTTACTCCAAACCTAAGACAAGTAGCTTTGAGCCCATAAGTCCCATATGACAACTCTTAAGTCACAGCTCATATTTGAAAACATTTTTAAAAATACAGATATCACTTCAATGACAGACCCATAGGGTAGAGCACTAGAAATACTTTAATATGTAAGACTGTATTAGGTGATCAGAAAAGGCCTCAGAAAGCTCAGAGGTTGTTTACAGACAAGATGCAATCATAATGCTGAAAGACACAAGTGGAAAAGAAAGAGATACAAGAAATAGAGTGGGAGGAAGTGAGGGGAAAGGTGTAGGAGCAAAGTAACAGAGACATCATTTTTCTGATAATTGTCTCCCACCTTTCTATCTTTCTGAATTAAGGTGTTAGCATTGGAATTGAATGTGCCAATAAAGACTAAGAAGCCTATAAACAAGAAAGCATCAGTTCTTGACAGAAAAGGCCACCTACACAGCAGTTACTCTACTGCATCAGCCCATTAAATAAGATTCCACCGGAGAACAGACACTCTGAAAGAAGGAAATCATCGCTTTGCACAAGAAGAAACCCATTAAGTCAGATGAATGGCCCATCTAGTGCAGAACACAGCTCCCAGCAGCCGTAATCCCAGACACTCTTTAGAGAGCTAGCCTGCAATGCAGACCCTCCCACATTCCCAGAGCACCCATACGGGTTTCATTAGGGAGATAAATCCCCTCCTCTCTCCCTTTCCTGATTTCGATGAAGCTGTCTAATTCCCTTCTGCACCCATGGCCCTGTCTGCCTCCACAGCTTCCTTGGAGACAGACACCAGATATTCGCTCTCCTACATAAAGAAGCTCCTTTCTCTCTCTCCTCTGATTTAAACTAACACTTTACTAGTCCCAGTGTGTTCTCTCCATTACTGCATTTAGTTTATCACTACCTCCATGGCTGTGTAAACCTTGATCATCTCTCCCCTTGACTTTAGCCTCTCAATTGAAGAGTCCCAGCCTTGCCAGCCCCCATCTCACCAGGCAGCTGCTCCATCCCCTTAACCATCTAGCCACCTGTCCCCATCCTGGTCCCAATAGGTCTGATGACACCTGGCATCCTGATGGTGTTCTGGGCTGTCACTGCACCCAGAGCTGAGGATTTCGGAGAACTGAAAGCAGCACCACCATCAGATATTCATGCTCAGCTCTCAACTGGCAGTTCCATGCAGGCATGGTATGGATTACCTATTCTTATACACATTACTTGGCATTTAACTGCAAGGTCATCTGCCACCCTTTTTGCCTGCTCAGCTCCTTGCTATCAGCATGGCACTGAGCTACATGAGAGTTTAATAGCACTCACAAAACAGGAGTGTCCGCTGTGTAATCCCCTCTCCAGAGGGCCAGAGATGCTGGACAAAGCCAGTACCACAACCAGCCCCTGGGGGATCCCATCACTGACAAGCCCTTTGCTTCTAATTCTTTAAGCAACTTCCAATCCATAAAAGAATTTTTCCTGCAGTCTCAGAGCAATGTCATTCCTTCAATAATTTGATGGAAAAATTTATCAAAGACTTTCTGAAAATCCAAGTGTGTTACATCTGTTGAATCTCACTGATTAGCAAGACCCTCAAAGCCTGTCAGCTTTCGCACCACCGCAGCATTACAATGTCTTGAGGAAAGCAAACACCAGTAAGTACTTTGCAGCTTTTCATGATCTACTTCAGAACAATTCTTGCATCCATCACCAGCTGCCACTGTTTAACGACTCCACTAGTTATTTCAGCTACAGCTGCAATAAAATATTTGAAAACAGCATATATATCTCTGTTATTAGTGTCTTGTGAACTCTTAAACATTAGCTTTAAGACAACAAAACCCATGCACTGATGAAATGCCAAAAAATGAGAAGCATATTCAACAGGACCCCTCTGGTGCTTTCTGGAACATTAAAACCCAGGCTACTTACTGCAGCTGTGCAGCTGTTCAGCTGGAAAACTCAGCAGGTCTGGAAAGCTACTGATGCTTTCAAACGATCTACAAACCTCATGTCAGACCATGCAAAGCACCTTCCTATTTCCCAAAACAGCAGAGCAAGTCGAATAAGCAAGACTATACAGACAGCACAATTTTTCCTCTCACTCATCTACATTCCTGTTGTAGTTCCTGCTGTTACTCTCCTTTATCCGCTGGGATTTCTGCACTGGAGATCTTAGCTCTGCTGAGATCCCACCTCCCAAGTCACAGAAAAACCCAAAACAAAACCAAACAAACAAAAAAGCAAGCTCTGGAATAGCACAGCATTCTGCCTGCCTCCCATTTGAGTAGACATTTCACATTTCAAAGGCTTTTTCATTTTCAGTCTTATAGTTGTTTTTTGGTCAGTTACTTACAAGTCTGATAAACCATGAGGAATTAAATTTGGCTACAGCTGAAAAGTTTGCCACCTGCAAAACACCCTTCTAGCTACCTTACTGACGAGGCCATTCTGCTCCACTGAAAAACACACTGGCACTTGAAAACTTGCCTAGAGTGGATCTGTCCCTGTATTTTTAAAATTACAATCTTTTGTTATGCAATTTATATAGCCTCCAAAAGCTTCCAGCTGCTCCAGAAACTAATGCTTCCCCAGTTAACCAGTTTTTCAATCGTAATATTCTCCAGTGAGGAGTCAGTACCAGGGTCCTTCTCCAGGTTTGCGGTCGGCTACACCAAACACCTCTATTTCACATCCATCCTAACAGTAGGAGACTGCCCTCAAAAGCACATGTCAGGATCCTCTGACATTAATACTCGTCACCACTGCCAGCAATTTCATCCTGAGCATCGCCACTATGACTCTCTGACCTTTCGGACATACTAAGGTTTTACAAAGGCAGTCCTTCTGAACAAGATACGTATATGTTGGTATCTCTAAACTGACACTAATCGATTCATGTGTTAATAAATGCCTCGTTAATACAATCCTGTCTGAACAGCTGGGCTGACTTTCAGTGGCTGGAAAACAAAACTGCCCACTGGTCTCATCTCTGTAACCAAACCAAGGATAAAATGACACAGGTACCACGACATCCAACCTGAACGTGTCCAAGGCTCCTATTGTTGGTTTCAGAACAAGTAAAGCTTCCCCCACACACACTTTGTTTTTGTTTTTTAAGCCAGCTTCCTATATCCAAACTAACAGAGAGAGTCTCTGCTGTGACAATATCAACAAAAAACCTTCAGGACACTTCAGCTTGTTTTGAGATGAGGCCACCACCAGCTGCCAGCCAGCAAAAATGAAATGAAAATCTGACATTAACTGCAGCTGGAAATTTTAATATTTTTATTATGCCAGTCCGCTGCAGTTCAAGGCTTGTCAGTGTTTCCATTAGCAACACAGATTTTATGCATTTATGACTTGGCAGTAGAAGGTCAATACAGACTGACTCTTGGCATAAAAAAAACCACTCAACTGGGAAGTAACCACCCACTCGTTCTGTTGCAAACTGCAGCACTAGTCATAAAGGTTTTAAGGTTTTATAATCTCCACTAAGCATGTCCTTCACAACGCTTACAAAACTTGCTGAAATCACTACAGGCTGACATGCAAAAATGTGTATAAATCTAACTCAGTAGTGAAAAAAGACTGGAGCGATATTAAGAGGCTTTTTGTTTTAATTGCACCTGTCACAGTGTAACAATTCCTCAGGGAAATTTATATACAAAAATCTCAAAATCATTTAGCAAAAAAATCACAGCAACATGTGAAACAAGAACTATTCTTCTTTGCACATAGACAAAAATCTAACATGTCTAAATTCACCTATAGCCTCATGATGCCCATTAAAATAAACAAACAAGCAGGCAGTCCTGACCTACTTTTTAAGCCAGCAAGCAAGCAGCCTTCCCACCATGAGCCACTCGCCCTCGCCTTGCTCCAGTGGGGACATCAGGACCCTCCCCGCTTCCCTTGCCAGAAGCGAAGAGCACTGGAGATGGAGAAAGCAGGTCAGACCGTCTGAAAGGACATGAGGAATGGATAGTTACAAATATGAAGTCTGTTCCTGAATTGCGGGGCACAGAGAAGTTCATTATCCAGCAAACCTAAATGCTTAGCTAGATTCTTCAAGCATAAATAGGAAGACTTTAGCTGCCCATCTCCTTTTATATAGGTCATTATACCAAGAAAATAATCTTTAGACTTTTTACATTATTTACACTGTGAACTACGAAACATCAGCTTGTACAAAAGCAATGTGGATTTCTGTTACTGGATTAGTATGTTTTAAAGCAAGATCTCAAGCAGCAGAAAATGGTCTCAGTATCTGAAGAGGCTGAGATGAAAAATACACAAAAGTAAATGTCTATAAGCCTCCACATACGATTCTCTCATCTCTTTTCTTCCCCTTTTCTCATCTCTCTTCTTCCCCAACAGAAGAACCTATGGACTGGCAAATTAAGTTTATGATTCATGTTTTACTAGACAGAAAATAAGGAAGTCAGAATTGAACCTGTCATTTATTTTACGGGAAAAGGAGGAATTGGAAGCTTGTGGTAAATCTACAGGCCATAGTTTTGTTTATACAAGTTTATCTCTTCACCTCACAGCCTGCAAAACCCTGTCACTGAAAAGTAACACGTACGTATCTGTGTGACTGTATAAATACATATGAAAACCTGTACAGCTGCATACAGATGAGAGAGTCAACCATGATCTGTTCAAGTGCAATGAAACACCGTGGTTCCTGGAACACAAAAATAAATCTTCACACAGCTAATTATTTAAGCACCCACTGCCTCTTGCATTTACAGTCCTAGTTACAGCAGCAGACAGGTAAGCACAGGGCAGCTTTAACAGCTCCAGTCTCTTAAATCTAAGATATCCCACATCCTTTCATTTTGCCAGTGTCTCCTTCTCCAATAGAAAACATGTTTTCTCACCCTCAATGCAGGCGCCCACAGAGGCGAAATATTTAATAAAGGCAAAGAAAGGAATAGCTGCAAATTAGTCACCTTTCTATCTGCCCCATTCCTTTGCCACACTTCCCACAAACTAAAGGGAGAGATCAAGACAATTTATGAACAAAAATAGCTGAGAAGCTCCTGAGCTCTCTCCCCAGAGCATTCAGAGGTCAGAGTAGGTTGCACCTCTCTGAAGAGCTCAGCTGGGAGTGGTCACAAGCTACCCCTGACTCCCCAGAGGATTAAACATTATTCTTGAAAATAGAAACAAATCACTTCAAAGATGAAAGTAGTTACCATCTGAAGAATGGACAAACTTGATAACCTTTGTTTTGCAAGACAAATTACCTCCTGGGCAGTTTAACATGTGTCACAGGTTGATTTTTTTTTGGCCTAATTTATGACCAAAGTAGGGACTGTTTAACAGTAAATCACTGGCTTTATTTTTCAAGTGCTGACCCACAGTCAGGTTGAACCAACAGTAAGGCAGCATCACTCCTCGTCTTTACCACTTCTAAAACTGAAATTGCTTCATATTCTGACTTTTGTACACCGCAAAGACATTTCTGTTCAAGACTAAGGCTAGAAAAAGGTTTCCAGCTGATATGAATCCCCAGAGTTTTCACAAGAGCTACTGACACGTACTGCTATGGGAGTGACTGCTGCTGTAGTTCCTCAACACAGCACACTGCTCGCTCAAAGGCCACTATCAGCTGAGCAGAGCTTTGGAAATTCCCCTAAATGTTTCTTATAAGAGAGTTTTACACAGAGCTATCCAGCTACATCTAAAGTTTTAGCATGCTTCAAACATGACAGTACAGAAAGCAAGGATGCAAAGTCCTGGTAGATAGGCTCATCCATGACCAAGCGATGCCTGAAGACATCTGTCGACTCTCTGTTAATAGCAGAGTTTCCTATATGGTTGGAGAAATATTTTCAGTAAGTTGAATTAATAATATTTGTGCCTGCTGCAGATTCAAATCACAATTTCTAACTTTTTCCCCCCAAGAAT